GGGCTAGCTCAGCATTTCACATGTGCATTTGGTTGGTGTCAAAATCACGCATCAACAATATTTAAGAAGGCTAAACAGTCATGGAGTTTCTCGGTTAATGTATCTACACTCTCAAAAAGAACATAATTTTTCTTTTTTTATTTTTTTTTTATTTGTGATTGTGGGTGTCCGAAATCAAATACACCCAAGAGTCCTTCAACCACTAAGAGCATAATTTATATAATTATCTTTTTAGTGCCATAAGCAGAAGGAGAGGATAAATGCTCATGATTTTGCAAATTTTAATGTTTTTTTCTATATTTAAATCTCTTACAAAAGTTGCAACGAAGATGTTGCACAATGTACAAATATACCCACTTCTTTAAATTTGTATACAGCCTAGGGCTTGTTCTTGAAAGCTTAAATAGTACAGCCAAAAGGAGTTACAAACCCAAGCCAGTTTGAAATTTTTATTAGTAGTAATTAGTATGTATTTGATTTAATTTGTTGCAATAAATCTTTGTCATGTACTTAATTTCTGATGATTGTTCATTAAAACTTTTGTTGCAGGTTGACAGGAGTCAGTGGTTGGATTAATAAATCAAAATCTATAAATTGATAGAGCCCTGTAAGTGTGGTTGTATATTACTTTTGTACAGATACCAGGATTCATCCTGTAAGTTTAGTATTCTCAGAATTTTTTTCCCCTCCTTTCTCAGTAAACAGAAACTTAAACAGTAGCAGAGTATGGCAGAGAATAGAGTGGGGGTTTACACATCCATTAACATCAAAGCTTTGCAGGGTTCCTTTAAAAATGTAATGGGTCGTAATTTTTCAATGTCACCAAAGTGTTCCACTTTAGAATTCCAAAAACTCTATTCAGGCAAGACGAAGCTATAAACCCAGGGGATTCTGTTCTGGGCCATTCCACCAAGAAATTCAACTCCAATTCGCACAAAAAATTAAAATCAAATGGGAATATTTTCAAGGTCTCCTTCGTCGATCAGACCATCCGGAGGAACTATATAAGCAACTCATCCAAGCCCTCAGGTCAGACGTTGAAGTAGAGGCCCGAAATTGCTACGTAGAATTCATTGAATTTGATACCAATAAATTTGTAGAAATTATGATTTTTGATGGCTGCTTCATTATTGAGTTGTTTCGTAAGGATGCTGAAAACTGAAAAGGTACCTAGAGACCCACATGATCCAATATTCAACATGGCTTCTTCACAGGAATATCTGAGCCATGACCTGGTCTTGCTAGAAAACCAAATTCCTTGGCTGGTGCTTTAGCGTTTGTTAAGCTTGACTAAGATTTCTGAAGACGAGTCTGTAATTCATCTTGCATTGATTTCTTGTCAATGTATTCTCATCGCAGCAACCTATTGTAAGAGCAGACCAATGCCATGAACGTGGAATCGAGATTAGGCATATCCTTGACCTGTTGAGGCATTCGTTGCTTTCACCAATGCGGCTAGAGAAGCTCGATAAAGAAAGTCATAGATGGGGAACCTATCCCCAGTGCCACAACCATCCCAATGGCAGGAATGAAGATTAAGATAGCATGGGCCGATAGCATCTTGGATATAACATTTAGTAATGGTGTTCTTGAGATTCCTCCTCTTCTACTTCACGAGACAACATAAATCATTTTCCGAAACCTCATCAGCTTCGAGCAATGTCTTCCCAGCTACTCCCCTATATTCACTTCTTATGCAATATTCTTGGACAAACTCATTGACACGGAAACAGACATGAAGATACTTTGTATGAGTGATGCTATAGATAACTGGCTGAGTACTGAAGATGCTTTTTTTTTTTTATAATTTATAATATCTGAAAGTTTTAAGATATGGGTTAACTTGTTCATTTGTGCTTTATGTGTTGGCTTAATGATCATGAACATAAACAAATCATCCATGGCAAAATATAAAGAACACAATACATTTTTACATGGTTCGACAACTTGCCTACATCCATGGGACTAAGTTTAGAAGAAGCTAATCCACTATGATAAACTTTTTGTGTTCAAATACAAAGCTAAAGATAAGCACAAGTTGCAAAACACTCTCCATTTATGACAACACTTCAATCTTCACTATTTGGTTGAATCTCTAGGCATCACAAGCAACGTCACACCCGAGACCACTCGGTCAATCTTGAGCTCCTCTCAAGGATCAACACCGAAGATGTACTTCAACTTCAAACGCTTGAAACTCTGTCAAGCATCAACAAGGAACAAAGTCCCAGCCATGAACAAAACAAGGATCAACAAAGGTATTTGTAAGCCTGCCTAAGTATATGAAACCCGAATAAAGGAAACCTCAAGGAATATGCAGAGAAATACCAAAGGTATATTTGCTTGAAATGAAAAGCATTAGAGAAGATAATATAAAGAAACTTGTGCACCAATGCAAGGGACAACCAGCCAACATGTTGCTTTTGTGTTTAGTCATTTTGGGAAAGTTTTTACCAACCTTTCTATGGATTACAATAAAGCAAAAAAGAATTTTTCAATACACCATATAGGCTAATGACAAATGTACATGGACCACTTGCACATATTTTAGATAAGTAGCAACTAATGGAGATGCAACGTGTGTACATAAATATCTGGCTGGGCTCGTGTCATCACACAGACAATGAGTATGGTGACATCAGGACATGAAACAATTGTGCATAAACAAAGAGACGTCATGACATAAAAAATCAATGTTACCACACTGAATTCATAATTTAACAAAAATACTTACAATATCTAATTCTAGTTAAATGGGCACGGATCGACGGATAATTTTTTTGAATGGATAGGAAAACTGGATAAGGTATCACTCACACCCGCCCATGCATGTACGGGTCGACCCGTGGGGTCACCCGCTTAGTTTACTTTTGAAATCGAGTAAACGACTTTTTTCCACCCAAGGTTTGGCTTAATGACACTTTCCCATCCATAAAGTTTCAAAATGACACTTTCGCACCCATATACCAAATCCGTTAGTAAATTTCTTTCTTAAGAAGGGCAAAATGGTCAAAAGTCTGTAAAAAGTAAGGGCACGGTGATCAATTCACATTATGCATTAAAAGTCAAAATTTATAATTTGAAATCTGGGTTAGTGTAGGGATTTTTTTCTTATCAATTTTATAAAGCCTAGAGTTTTCTTCTCTAGTTTCTCCTTAACCCTAGCACCTCACCTCCATCATCTTCCATGTCTTTTTCTCAGTCTCTACACAAAAAGAAAATGAACAAAGCAAAACCCATTATCTCCTTTACGCAACTGTGAGCTGCCTTGGAGATTTCGCAATTTTTTGTGTGGATTATTGCTATTTTGATGATTGATTGATGATCAAAATTGGGTTGCGATTGTTTAAGATTTCTAGTAGTTGTAGGTTGATTGTGTGGTGGTTTTGATGGCTGCAACAGTTTTCTATGGGCGATTGAGCTTTCTCTTCGCAACTAGGAATCGCAGCCAGTGAGGTGAGATTTAGGCCCAATCAGGTGGGAAGGTGATTGGGAGATGAGATATAAAACATAAGCAGCCCTTGTTTGTTTTCCAAGAAATGAAGAAAAAGAGAATGCTTTAGGAAATGGGGTTTGAGTAGAACCGAGAAAGAAAGAGAAAAGATTCTAACTTTTCCCCAAGGTTTCGTCGAAATCTAGTCGAAATCGTCAGGCAAAACATAAAAGACTCCCAATTAAATAATTCACCAAAGAAGAAAACGATTCTACGTTATGTTTGAGCCCAGGTTTTTGCGAAATCCAGTAAGAAAAATCAAGCGCAATCTAGGGATTCAAGTTCAAATTATAGAGGGAAGAAACATGAGAAGCAAAATAATAAAAGGAATGAGCTTCTTCATTAAGGGGTTTTTTTTGCTAGATTTTAGGGTTCTTTGAGAGGATTGAGAAAAGTTGAGAGGGGAGATCCGATGGGTCAGGGTCAAGGGGAAGAGCAAAAGAGAGGTTGAGAAGAAGGTTTTGAAGAGAAACTTCCAATTGTTTGGCCGACATTGAATTTGCTTCAATTGAAGGTTTTTGTAAATTAGAGTTGTTTTTATCATGTTTATTAAGAAATTTAATAGTTGGGGGTCTATCGATAATTTCATATTAAAAATTGGGTATAAAGGTAATTGATTCTATATGTAATAATAAAAAAAACTATTAAATCAAATAGGGATGGCATTTTCGTCTTTACAACAAATATGTACTGTATTTAACATAATTTACTAATGGTACATAAAGATGGTTAGGAAAGGGTCATTTTAAAACTTTTCGAGTGGGAAAGTGTAATTAGGCCAAACCTTGGGTGGGAAAAAGTCATTTACTCTTTAAAATTTTTCCTCTCCAATTTTTTTATTTTTAAACTTTTTCTGCCGTTTATTTCTTTATTATTTTTCATCTCCAGATATTTCTCTGTCATCTTCGTCTTCTTCTTCTCTCTCTCTCCAATTCTTCTTGTCTTTTTCTCCCTCCTCAGTCCCCACTTTTTCATTTTTTTCTTCTTCAGTTCATCTTCTTCTTCTTCATCTTTTTCTCCCTCTGCACTCTTTCATATTTTTTCTTCTTCAGTTTTCACCCTTCCAATTCTTCTTTGTCTTCTTCTTCTCCCTCTCGCCTACTGAAAAGAGATTTAAGTTTTTTCCTCTCCCATTTTTTTTCCTAGGTTCTTTGTGTTTCATTTTCCATTTTCCCTTTGTTTTTTATAAACTAAATATATTATAGATCTATAATCTCCATTGTCGCCACCGGTGAGCGTAAGCATGTGTTGGCGCCATGGAAGGCTGCCGATGAACGACAACCACTTTAGGGCTTGTCCATGCTTCTCTTGTTGATATGTGGTTTATTTTTGTTGGTATGAATGTTGATTTGTGGTTTATTTGTATTGGTATGAATGTTGATTTGTGAGTTTTCTTTATTGATTTGTTGTTTTAGATTTAAATAAGTTGTTGATTTCTTCTTCTTCAATCTTCACTTCACCTCTGTTGAATTTTTTTTTTTTTTTAATTTTGTACGGATACCTGCGGGTATCACTTGACCCACCCGTTATTTTCACGAGCTGGCCGAATACGGGTAATTATTATCGTATCCACCCGTGCGGGTATGAGTCCAGTTTGCCAGGTCTAATAAATACTCATATGGTTTTACAATTTTTCAGCAATGGATAAATACTCATATGGTTTTGCAATTTTAAGCAAAGGATAAATACTCATATGGTTTTGCAGCTTTTAAGCAAATGATTTCTTTATTTCAAAAGTCTTGTATATAAGTTGCAATTAAGATGTACAGTTTACACATGTACCTAGTTCTTGAAACTTGAATACAAGGCTGAGGGCTTTTTCTTGGACCTATATGATTTTTATTGTTTTATTTCTTTTTTATTAAGTTAATTTGTTCCAACATATTTTCGTATATGCATGTAATTTTCTTGTTCATGGATAAGAATTTCTGACGACTGTTCATAAAAACTTGTGTTGCAGGTTACTCTAGGCATGCAGGAGTTGAAAGAGATTGGAATTAGAAATAAAAATCTAGGACTTTAAGTGTGCCACGACAGGGGGCTATCCTCTATCTTGCCACCTTCGAACGCAAGAGCTTTTCCCACGCGTCGTAGCCAAATGGTCCTCATGTTACTTGGCCAAGGTATAAGTCCAAGGTTCAAGTCATGGGGGAGGCGTTCGCAGGGTAGAAAAAAATACCATGAAGCGAAGCAAAGCCATGAGGGTCCGAAGGAGGCGTGGCCAGAAGGACCCATAGTGGACAATACCTTGGACGTGTCCGGCGTGCGAGGAAAGCCCTTGAGCCAAAGTGGCGAGATAGATGATAGCCCTCGGTCGTGACAAAGTGGTTTTATACTTTTATTTTATTGAAACATGTCTAGGCTTGCTCAATATAAATTCTTTTTTATATTTTAATAGAAGACCAAATTTATGCTTTCTTGATTAATGCTTCTTCACCATAATTGAGTCTTCCTCAATTCATAAATTACCTTAAGCAATTCAGATATATGTAGCTTTCAGAATTAATTAAAACATGGAATTAAAGGTTTAAGATTTTCTTTTCTGTGACAAATTTACCATTCTCATATATAGTAGAACCTCTTTACAGTAATACTCTATATAGGAATAATTTCTATTCAGTCATAAAAAATTTTGGTCCGAACTTGGGCTAGTTATAAATAATAATAAATTTTACATTATAATTTTTCAAGGTCCCATCTTAAGGAATTTGCCTCTACATAGTAATAATTATATGTATACAGCAAAAAATATATACTATGTTACAGTAAAGGTTTAAGATGAAATAAAATAATTATCCAAAATTGTTTGAGACAATGATTTATGCTTTAGAATTACTACCAGATCTTTTATCTTGTAGGTACGTAAAAAGTTACTCACATTGACACCTTCTTGTTGAAGTCAAAATATTTATAACTTCTCAAGTATGTTTAGAGCTTCTTGACACAAAACTTTTGGTATTTTTGTACTATCATCATCAGCATTACTTCATCTTCTTCTTGTTTAACTCTAGTAATGATTTATTCTCTAGTTAACGCATACATGACTTGCTGCTCATTTAGATGATTGAGGAAGACATTAATATCCATTTGATTAGTGTAGTGAAGTTGTCAAATCTGATCACTCAATTTTGCAATGACTCTTTGATATCTATTTCCGTATTATCCTAATGCTACTAAAATAATGAAGTGAAATCCTAATACTAATAAAACATGAATTATAAAATAAGAAATCAAAACAATAAATTTTGAACTAAAAGAATAATTCTTGTAACTACACCTCTACTAAGTTATAACCTCCTTATAGTAATAAATTTAGTTGGTCCCAACATTATGACTATGTAGAGGTTCTATTGTATTATTGTTTGTTATAAAGAGGCAAAGCGTAGTAGAGTTATGGCTGAGAGCAGAAATGAGGCTTACACAACCATTAACATCAAATCGCTGCAGGGTTCCTTCGAAAATATAATGTGTCATAATTTTTCAATGTCCCCTAGTTGTTCTATCTTTAGAACCCCAACAACTCTATACAAGGATAATGAAGTTGCATACAAACTCAAGGCATTTTCTTTTGGGCCATTCCACCATGAAAAAGAACTTGAATTCACACAAAAAATCAAATAAGAATATCTGCAAGGCCTCCTTTGTCGATCAACATGCCCAGAAGAACTCTATAAGTAGCTCATTGAAGCCATCAAGTCAGTTGAGGAAGAGGCCCGTATTTGCTATGCAGAGTCAATTGAATTCGATTCCGATAAATTTGTAGAAATTTTGGTGTTTGATGGTTGCTTCATTATTGAGTTATTCCGTAAGAATTCCAAAATGGTATCTAAAGACCTAAATGATCCCATATTCAGCATCGCTTGTTTAATGGAATATTTAAGCCATGATCTGTTTTTGCTAGAAAACCAAATACCCTGGTTGGTCCTTGTAGGAGTGGAAAAATCCGGTTAACCAAACCGGTTGCTTTAACAGAACCGGTTTTTGGTTTTAAAAATAAATTGAACCGAAACCGGTTCGATTTCGGTTAAAAACCTGTTATGAACCGAACCGAAAATTCGGTTCAGTTAATTGGTTAATAAGATTGATGATGGGCCGCCTTTTCGGCCCAATTCGCACACTCCACTTATGGCCCATAAGTTATGGGCTGCCTTTTTGGCCCAATTCGCACACTCCACTTTGGCCCTTTTTTTTTTTTTTACTTGAATTAAAGTTATATACTTATATTTATTGTAATTGAATTTGAATTCATATAATTCTAATGCACATCAAATAAAGCTAAATTTAGTTCCAAATGCAAAATTTGCTCCACAACGGGATAGAATATATAAATTTACTAGTTTAACATGTTATAATCTTTTAATATTTGAACTTGAATCATGAGAAAAAAGATGAACACAACAGGACAGGATATATAAATCTTCTTCCTTTGCCTGCTATTCTAGATGAAATAAATTAACAGGATTAGGATCAACACAAATTAAAGAAATGATACACATTACAAATCATACAAACAAAAGACCAAACTTCTCAACCCAGATGATCAAAACCAAAAAGGAGCCATATTCATATAGCTTTACTATTTTTTTATTTTTTTATTTCCTTCTTCTCTAACATCTTCACTTCAACTCCGGACCCTTCAAATGAGAAGCTAGAACTTTACTAAAAAGCTCATCATGTTTCAGGTCATGCTCTCTAAACGTTCCCTAAAAACTTTTAACATGTCAGAAAATGTTACAGGACATCAAATATCTGAGCCGTGGGCTCTCCTGTTCAGTGTTCATTGCAAAGAGATAACGTCACCAAGAAATACAAAGCAAAGAGCCAAACAGATGAGGTCACCCACTGGAAACAGATGACAACGTGGAGACTTAGTGAAGGAAGAAGAATGGTGACCGCGACTGATGACCGCCGACTATTGAGCAACTGATCAGTGAGCAAAGATCAGTGGCTACTGGCTGAGGCCTGACCGCGTGACTCTAGCGTGAGAAGTAAGAACACAAATCTGAGAACTGAGAGTCCGAGAGAGAGTGAGAGACCGAGATTGGGTCACTGAGACTTTGAGAGTGTGAGAGACTAAGAGTTACTGAGGTGAGCGTCTAAGTACCGGCGTAACTGAGTCTGAGTAATGAGGTCTAAGATCTGAGTACTGGAGCAGTGGAGGCGTGGAGTTGCCAAGTGAAGACTGAAGTGAGTGTTAGAGTGTTACAGTTAGTGTAGTGACTTAGTGAGTGTTAGGGATTGCAAAATAAAAAGCTAAAATATAATTTTTTAAAAATTTTGGTTCAAAAAACCGGTTCCGAGTAACCAGAATTTATTGTGTCAAAAATCGAAACCGAACCAGATTTTTGGTTTTTTTTAATATCCGAACCGAAACCCAAAAAAACAGGATTTTCGGTCCGTTTCGGTTTCCAGGTTTTTTTTTCCACCCCTAGGTCCTTGAGTGTTTGTTTAACTTAACTAAGGTTTCTGAAGAAAAGTCTCTAATTCAACTTGCCCTTGATCTTTTAGGTCATATTTTTTCACCTGAGAATCCATGTATAACACCAGACCAATTCCACGAATGTAAAATCGAGATCAAGCATATCCTTGACTTGTTGAGGCATTCATTGATTTTACCATTACCACCAGAGAAATTGAACGAAGAAAGCTCGGATTGGGAAACCGTCCCCAGTGCGACAACCATCTTAATGGCTGGAATAAAGATAGAAATAATATCATCCAATAGCATCTTGGATATAAAATTTTGCAAGGGGTTCTTGAGATACCAACGATCAGAATTGTGGAGTGGACAGAAACCATTTTCCGAAATCTTGTTAGCTTCAAGCAATGTTTCCCAAATTACTTACCAGTAGTCACTTCTTATGTCAGATTCATGGACAACCTCATTGTCATCGAAAGAGACATGATGATACTTTGCATGGCCAACACAATGGATAACTGGTAGAATCCTGAAGATGCAAAGAAGTTTCTAAAAAAACTTTACTACGATGCATATGTCAAAGAGTTCTATTATCATGACATTTGCCACCAAATGAACAGTCATAGAAGACGCTGGTGGCCCAGATTGCGTCTTTTCTATCTAACGTTACCTCTCTATTGGCTATTGTTTCTTAAGTATTTGTTGCATTCTCTTTGATTCTCTTAATCGTACAGACATTGTATTCAATTCTTGGTGTTGTAGAAAAATAAAATGGCTCTTTAATGTTGTAAATTTAATTTGTTTGAGAAAGAATACTTTTTTGTAAAAATTTTCAAATATAAGGGATTATAATGATATTTCTATGTACTTGTAAAAAATGTTGCAGGGCCACCTGGCTATAACTTGAGAGTGAGAGAGTTATGTCAGTGGAGAGTGAAAACAAAGATTAAACTGCCATTAACATCAAATCGTTCCAGGGTTTATTTCAAAAGATAATGGCTCATGATTTTTCATTGTCACCTATTCCATTTTTTTAGAACTCCAACAATTATACACCCCTAAAATCCGACAGCCAATAAACCCAGGGCATTTTCATTTGGGCCATTCCACCATGAAAAACAACTCGAATTCGGTCAAGAAATCAAATGGGAATATTTTCAATGCCTCCTTCGTCGATCAACATGCCCAGATGAACTATATAAACAACTCATCGAATCCATCAGGGGAACTGAAGGAGAGGCCCATAATTGTAGTCAATTGAAGTTGATTCTAATAATTTGTAGAAATTTTGCTTCTGCAATGTTGCTTCATTGTTGAGTTGTTCCGGAAGGATGCTAGAAAGGTAGCTAAAGATCCAAAAATGACCTGATTTTGCTAGATACCAAATTCCACGGATTTATTTTGCTAATATAATGTTGGGTCCTCAACAATTAGTTTAATTTGAGATTTTAGGTAACTCAACAGAAAAGAGGTTCTCCATATTCTATCTTTTCTGATTTAGGAGTCAACATAAACCATTTTCTGAAATCTCATTAGCCTCGAACAATGTATTCCCAAATTACTCACCAATTCACTTTTTATGCCATATTCATGGACAACCTTGATAGAATCTGAGGGCCTAACTCATCACCCAATGAGGCCTTGTTGAATGGGAGGATTATTCTCTCTTATAAACTAGTAGGCTTGAGCATGTTTAGTCAATGTGGGACTCCAACAAACCTCATTGACACTGAAAAAGACGTGAATATTCTTTGCACGAGTGAAACCATAGATAACAAACTGGTCAAATCCTTAAAAAAATGCTTTAAAAAGAGTTCTATAGTATTTTTTATTAATTTTTATATATAAAACAATTAAGCAATTAAGTTTTGGGGGGCAATTTAGTCATTTTATCACTTGATCCCCTGCCAAATGGAAAAATTCACTAACAGACCTCAAGATGGTTGGAACGTTGATAGTTTCCAAAACCAAAGAGCGAAAATGTGTTTTGTCAAACCTGGGGTGGGA